TACCAGTGATTTCGGTCCTCGGACATCTACATTCTTGGTTGTGTTTCTATTCAAGAGCTTGCAATGCCTAGGTCTTATGTATCACACCTAATCACAATGGTGACATGTTGGGATGAATTTAGGCTTGAACGAGACAAATACTCTTGTTTTCAGAAGAGAAAGCGGTATGAGAATTGATCTCTTTAAATCATACACCTCCTCTATTCACAGTTGATTTTTTCAATTCTAACATGTTTTCAAGCTTGTTAGAACCACTAACGAAAGATTGAAGTTGGGCATTAGATTTCTCGAAATTGCTTGTAAGAGATTTAACCTTAACATCTAAGAACTCTTTCTCAACCCTTAACTAATTTAAACTTCTTGTGGATTTCTCAAGTTTGGCTACAAGACACTCATTTTCTAATTCAAGATTATTCAATTTTTTAAATGCAAAGCGATTTTCCTTTTTCAACTAAAGGTACTTTTCAAACAACTGGTCATAAACCTCCCGAATATCCATTATCATCCTCAGACCCCTTATCATAATGTGATTGAATCATTTAGACAAAATTGGGTTAAGGAATGCAATCAAAGCTCTGATTCCACTTGTAAGTTTTATATTAGCCGATTTATTTAGACTCAACGTGCGAAATTACACAATTAAAAGTAACAAGTCACTTTTTAATCATTTATAGATGATAAGATCAAATAAATCAATTTATCATAAGTTTGAATACCACAGTCAATAATTAAAATAATAAACAACACCAAAGATAATTACAGAGAAACCTCAATTGAGTAAAAACTTCGGGTACTTTGCCCGTCAGTAATGCACTATAAATTGAAACAAACTTACAGTACAGTCCACACCGATTTACCCCTTAGAACTTCTGACCTCAATTATTGCATTCTCCCTTGATCCTACTAGAGGCGCGCTCCTTCAAAACAAATTTCAACTCCTAGTTTATACCTTAGCCTCCTAGACTGCTTGCTCCTGACGTCAGATTCCGACTCCTGATATCCCACTTTAGTCCTCCTGAATTTGTGTTTTCACAACAGCTCTTGATCCCTGATATCGATTTATCTCCGTTGGATTACGTGGTTTGGTATTTAATCAAAAGATCTTATGTGTTTTGATCTTTGGTTTAATATGAAACAATATGACTTGATCAATAAAATATGTTTTGGAAGAATTTATGGATCAAGTAATATGTGGTGGACGAATCTTGGAGTCAATAAATATTTTGGATCATCAAAGACTGATCTCTATAATCAAAATGTTGTTCAACCACACTTTTGAACGTCTCATAGGGTGGGATATATATATATATATATATATAGGGGAAATTTTCGAGATGAAAAGGGATTGAAAAACCAAGTGTTTGAAGCAAAACAGAACCCTAGACAACGATCTATCGCTCGAGCGCCAGGCGAGTAGCATCTAAACAGTCGTCAGTATTTTTATCACAACTTTATCTTCCGATATCCGATTGAGGTAATTCAAAATGCGTTGAAAAATTAACTCAAATGGCTAATATTCTTTTAGCAGTAGCCTTATCAACATTCCAATGTTTTCTATATGAAAAATGCATTGCAAGTTACGATTTAGAATTTGGAACATAATTTGTGCGGCTCTTTGACACTTTTTGCTCTTTTAAATGTATTTCAATGATCATATGTGATCTTCTTGGATTCTTTCAAGAACTATACTACCAACCCAATTCTTTTTATTTTAATTAGGATTCAATAACTCATATTTTGACTTTAATTACGACTCGATAAATTCTTAATATATTTCAAGTAGGACTTGATTTTGATTAAGAAAATTGTCAATTACAAATTTAGAACTTACTAATTATAATTTGAACTTAACAGAAAGTTTGGTCAAACTTATTGCATTTGCTAGTTTGCATATATTTATTTATGGCTTGTTTTATAAAGAGATCAAATAATATTGGACATTATAAAGAAAAAAAGAAAGTGAAAATGTTATTTATGTAATATCTAATTTTATGCAACACTGTAAATCAAATGTGCACTTGGTGAATACATACACCAATTATAACTTAATATACATTTTTCCGTTTAGCATCTGATTTTTATTTTTATTTTTTCAATTTTTTACTTTGTTGAGGATTTTTCCAAAATTATGAATAGAATTTTATGGAGTAAAATAATTTTTAAAAAAATCAGATGCTAAACGGGAAAATGTATATTAAGTTATAATTGGTGTATGTATATGTCCAAGTGAGCCCGTTAATTATTACATAATTCTAAACAAAGAAACAAGAGATTGTTTTATACGGATTCCTCAGATCCTATAGCCATATGACCTAAATCATGAAATTGCAATTAAAGAAAGTTTCAAAAAACTTTTTGGTTAGTCATATTTCAACTAGATTTTTCTTAAAGGTCAAATGATTTTCTTCTACTTTAGTCAAAATTGACAAGAGGTTTCAACTGAATGTTGGTTTTATACCATTTATTAAGTAGCATGGAAAATGAGTTTTTATTGATAAAATATTATTTCTATTAATTTAAAGTAGGTGTGGTTGTTTGAATGAAGACAATAGGGCAGCATTCAACTTGTATAGCCATTAGCCAATTTTGCTTTTTAGAATTGAAAAGTTGAGTCTTTAAAAATAATTATTTGGATGATTTAAAGCAAGTTTGGTCAAATTTATTGCATATTTGGCATAAAAGGATTGAATTATTGGACCGTTACAAAAATAATAATAATATAAAAAAATTAGTTATTATGTTGTTTAGTACATACGAATCAAACTTACACTTAAAAAAATCCCTATTTTATTATAAAGATGAAGGACAAATTTGGGCATTTTTAAGCAGACGGGGCAATATTCTTTATATGTCGACTTAAGAGCAACTTAAATGGGGTTTTCTCGTAACAATGGTATCAAAACAGATGCTGTTTATCAACACATACAAAAGGATGATCTGGGATGGCAACCTCTAATGAGAGACTTTTGTGAAGTCATTCAACTAAGAAAATTGGATGGGTTTTCGATTTTAAAGGGATAAATTGTAATAACTTTTGAATTTTGCATTGACTTGGAAAGACCTATCTTTTGGACTTATAAGCAAGAATACATTCTTCTTACGAACAGTTTGAGAGAGTAAGATATATTTGATGTATGCATTTGAATTAAAAGGGCATTATATTGGTGAAGATTCCCCCTTCACTATGGCTTGAAACAATAGCTCTCAAGAAATTCTAAGACACATGATGACGCTTTCCTTAAAATTATATGTCTCTTATCAATTGAGTGCACGTGGGGTACAAGTTAGGCTCCAAAACACAATGGAATTTAATGAATTTTTTTCTTGATATTTAAGCACTAACGACAACAAAACCAAACACCAAGATGTGTATAACTTCTATGAAATTATTTGTACTTCAATTCTACATTATATTGGAGTAAAAGGCAAGAACAGGAATTGAAAAATAATTTGTAAAAATAAGTTATGATGGAGAAGGAGACAAGAAAACTCAAAATGCCTTTTATTCATACGTAATGATAATAAATAAAAAATCAATTTGTATATAGGTTTCTCTACAACTCCTCCCCGAAGTCAAAATCATTCAAATATGTCTTTTAGAGTTGAACTATATTAATAAAAACTGAAAAAAAATTGCATTTGGGGGTGTTGGGTATACGATCAAAGCCTCACATTGGTTAGAAGTATGGATGATCATGAGTTTACAAGGATTGACAAATATCTTCATTGGTATGAGGCCTTTTGGGGTAAAGCCTAAAAGCAAATCCATGAGGACTTAAACCCAAAGTGGACAATATCATACTCATGTGGAGATATGTGGTGTCCATAGCCTAACAAGTGGTATCAGAGCCAAACCTCAGACTTAGCCATGTGGGTGAATTCCTCGAAATGCCGAACGAATGTGGTGAGCCTCGATCTGCTCGCGATGAGATTCGTGGATGAGCTCTATTGGACAGGCGGTGTGCTCCGGATGCTTCATGGACGTGTCCTGACCCCAACACGGTGAAGAGGAGTTGATCTGGATATAGCAAGCTCTCGAGACAGGTGGTATTCCATGTAAGGCGTGTGATTCCAACGCATTGGAGTGGAGAATTCTGGTTGGTAGAGAGTTGACGGATGGATGATCGTTTGAGGGGAGGCTCGATAGTCCTTTGTTCGATGGGAGGATTGTTGGGTATACGATCAAAGTCCCACATTTGTTAGAAGTGTGGATGATCATGGGTTTATAAGGATGGACAAATATTTCCATTTGTATGAGGCTTTTTCGGGTAAAGCCTAAAATCAAATCCATGAGGGTTTAGGTCCAAAGTGGACAATATCATACAAATGTGGAGATATGTGGTGTCCATAGCCCAATATGGTACATGAAATCAGTTGAAAACATGAATAGGTACAAAGAACCAAAAAAAAGGTTGTTTTTTCTTCTTTAATATGTGTAATCCAGTGCTGTTAAAAACGTACTATAAAGGTACAAGTGGAAGAAATTTTACAATCCATCAAAAGTTTACACCATTATTCAACCAGATATGTCATAAAAGGTACAAAAGGCAAGACTATAACGATCAATGTAGTAGCACAAGCACATATCAACTAAAATTTCCCAATGTGAAAATATGCAAGCTCCAAAATCGGCTAATGCAGAGCCTGACTATGGACATAACAATCATTTGGCCATAACACACGAGCGTAGACCACATCATCAATAGTAAAAATACCAGTAGTTACCCTTCTTTTCGCAGTGAAATTCCTTATTGAATTGCTAAGAATCTGCATTTACGACGCTCTCTTTAGACCATGTATTGCAAGCCCACCTGTATTAGGTGTGAATGTGGAACACTCGAACTTGCAACCTCCCTATTGCAGTTTTTTTTCTCAAGAAAGCATAGCAATAGTTTACAACAAGCTTCTTAATAAACCACGAATCCTTCCTTGCTTGAATATCTCCATGACCAAGAAGGTATACTACCCCCAGATTCTTTAGCCTTGCTTATAAAATACAGTTACTTACCATGACTTTGCTCTGCATCAAGAAAAGATGGATCAGTAGAAGGCTCTGCCTTGACCTTTTCTGAAGAGCTTGCTTCTGATATGGACTTGCTCGTGTCCTCGTACTCGGCCAAGAGAGGGACACCAAGTGAATAAACACTCCCATTGGGAGCTATTAAAACCCTCAAGAAAGAATTATCTTCTTCAGTATCAGAGTCTTCATCACTGTCACTCTCCAGTGACCTTTCCTGAGCTTCCCTGCGAATGAACCTCTCGAGACTCTCAATCAGCAACTGCTCAAAGGTCTATTGGTTTTCCTCGCGAACATCCTTGTAATCGTATCTGTTCGTGGCAGTATTGGCCAAACCATAAGTTCCTGTTTTTTTCTAAACAATCCCAAGATGCCCACATGAAGATTCGTTTAGTTTATAAACTGCATATCATGCCACCATGTGGATCTCAATGGAGTCACAACAAAGGGTCGGATGACCACATATTTCGGCAATGCAGCTATGTAATGTTTGCAGTTATAGCTTCAAGTCAATGTTACCCATATCAATGCATAATGTGATAATGAAATTGTAGATTTGATATGATTGTCGTCGTCATCATAACTCCAAGCTTAGCAATGCCTGCCAAACAAAGTAAACATCAGACCACACAAAAGCCTGCATAATATCCCTTCAGAAAATAATTCCAGTCAATTAAATATGAAGATACAAAGAAATAAAAGGCATCTGGTGCTTTTTACTTTAATTACACCATTATATGATATTAATGGGGGTAAAAACATATAATTCCATAATTGGATCTTCCAGCAGTTCATTGTGAGATTGAATTCTGGCATAATATGTTTAAATTGTTTAAGCTCCTGTTTGGCCCTATTAAATTAAAATTCATTTTTTTTTTGTCTCTTCTTATCAATCACACATTCTCCAATAAAAAAAATATTACACCTAAACTTAAAAAATTTTCCTTCTTTTTTAATCATACATTCTCCAAAAAATTACTATTTCTCTCATTATATTTTGAAAAAATGGAGCCCATGGGCTAAATTGTGGCATAATTATTTTAGCCTCCATTATTTTCAAAATACATTAAAAATTTTTTTTTTCATAAAATAATATTACACGTAAACCTCAATCTTTTCCTTATTTTTAATCCCACATTATCCAAAAAATTATTATTTCAATGTACAGTTTTTTTTCCAAAATCACGTTAAAATGGAGCCCAAACAAAGTCTAAATTTTCCTTACGAGATGGATAATCTAACTTTTCTAAATTACTTTTCTTGAAACAACCTCAATAAAACCTCAAACCCTATATTTTAAGTTTCAATTGTTAGTTTTTTCTTCCCATGAAGATGGTAATTCGGTAACAAACCGAATCTGGATGTGGTCCACATTTTCCACTTCTTATGGACGTGAGTAATGTTTAAAATCACGTCTCACTGCCTTCCCCACGTTTGTGCTCGGTTGAGAACAGCTCTGTGATGGACAAAGCCTATATATATTTAGTTTTTCCACCGGTTGGGTCTCAAAACCTTCCAATCTCCTACAGTCAAAACTACGCCATCTAATTGAGGTTTAGAAGCACTTAAATCCGAAAATAAATCCATCACTTAACCCTTAATGTGTGTGTGAGAAGCAATGGCGGGAGGTATGCTTTGTAGATCACTGAAGCATGTTTATATCGTTTAGATTTTGCTTATAGTTGGTATTAGAGCCTTGTTTACCTCTGTCTTGCTCATTTGCTCTTTGCAATTTTTCCAAAAAAAAAAAGCTTTTCGAAAATTTTAGATAGTCAAATTGTTTGACCTTTATCTTACAAAGGTTACAAAATTCATTCTCTATTTACAAGAATTGGGAACATCCGAACATGCATGTTATATATATATATATATATATATATATTTGTGGTTTTTTTTATGTGCTAAAATTAAATGTTGAGTGATCCATATAATTTTAATTAATTGGGGAGTGGCCACAACATCTTTAATTATGCAAAATTATATATTCATTGTTTTAGGATCACAATATGACAGTAATTGTAGTTGGTCATGTTGAATATAATAGATTTTATCCCACAATAATTTTTATTATATTTGTATGATCAACTAGGATAAAATATTAAATTATTTTCCTAATTACCCACAGGAATTAGGAATCGGAATGTGATTCGATAGTTTTATCATAATGTTTATACATGAATCTAATTTATCATAAGGTTTATACATGAATCTAATTTAGTAGGCCTTTAGCCCACGAACAAGTTATATGTTTTTAGATTCATATTTTTGAAGCATGATTTTACATTGGTAAAGCATGCTTTATTTTTGTTAGTCTTTTGAACTGTAAGCATGTATGTATAATTTTATGTAGTTATGCAACCTGCGAATTTCTCTGATATTAAGTGTGATATTTTCGAACTAAACGGTGATAACTATGAAGTCTGGAAGGAGAGGATTTTCCTTCAATTGGGGTGGATGGACATTGATTATGTCATTAAGAAAGAAGAACCAAAAATCACTCCGACTAGCACTCCGAATGAAATTGCTCTTTATGAACGATGGGAGTGATCCAATCGCCTTAGTATGATGTTCATAAAGACCAATATTTCTGCTGGTATTCGTGGTTCCGTCGAAAAGCATAAAAATTTCAAGGCATTGCTGAAGGTTATTGATGAGCACTTTGAGACTTCAGATAAAGCACTTGGGAACATCCTAATTATGAAGTTTTCATCCATGAGGATCACTACTGTGAGAGGTGTACATGAGCACATCATGCAAATGAGGGACATTGCGGCTCAATTGAAGACTCTTGAGGTTGATATGTCTGAGTCTTCCCTTGTGCACTATATTTTGAACACTCTTTCACATCAATATGGACCCTTCAAGATATTCTATAACGCGCATGAGGATAAGTGGTCAATTATTGAACTTCTGGCCATGTGTGTTCAGAAAGAATGGAGACGGGCAATGGAAACGGGTGAAAGTGCATTGATGGCAATGCAAGGAAATGACGAAAACCAAGCCAAAAAGAAAAGAAGAGGTAAAATACCGCCTAAGGTGGAATAAAAAAGGAATCCAAGTGCTACTTCTGCAAAAAGAAGGGACATGTGAAAAAAGATTTCATAAAATTCCAGAAATAGCTTGAGAAGAAAGGTAAACCAATCTCATTTGTCTGTTATGAATCTAATATGGTTGATGTTATTTATAACACATGGTGGATTGATTCTGGTTCTACAAGGGATGTCAATTCGAACTGTTAAAACAGAAAATTGCGGTTAACCGAACCGAATGGGGCGAAAAAAATCGAACCGATGGTGCAATGGGGCGGTTATAGTTTTGATTTTAATGAACCGCTTCATTTAGGGGTGAGTATGGCATTTAGCGATGGTGCACCGCCCCGAACCGATTACCCGTTAAAAAAAATTAATTGAACTTTCCATCATTCTTTCCCAAAATTAATTGGGCAATTTTGACAATTGAACTTCCCAAAATTCTAGCCCAATTAATATTAAGTAAACCAATAATGAATAACCTAACACTATTTATAGTTTTTAACCCAGTCCACTGCCGAGATAGTACAATTTAAATATACAACCTACACGTTAAAAGTTAAAACCATGTCATGTGACTCCTGTCGTAACCCTACAGTCTCCACTTCTCTTCAACTCAAATTCGTCGTCGCTCTGCCTCAACTCGCCGTCACCATCACCGCTCGCCATTGAGAAGGTAACGATTAAGAATTGACGGGCTATCTTTCCTCAACTGCTTCTCGCTGCATTTAGATAAGATGAGATGTTTCTTCTTTCTATAGTGACAGCTTTGAGAAGCGACAAGGAAAATCCCACCCTGTTTCTCGAAGAAGGATCCTGGCATCCCTCACAAGGAAAATCCTGCACTCTTTCCCGTAAGTGTCGATTTCTTCCTCCCTAGTTTCGGGGTGATTATGAGTGTTCTTGATGATTCTGATGTTTAGTTTTTGGAATTGTACATGTTTGAGATCTTGGGATTTGTTTAATTTAGCAGTATTTCTATTGAATCTGCAATGGTTAATGAAAAAGAATCTATGAAATTAGGTTTTCAATTAACATTGGTAGTTTAATGATTAGTTTTGATTTTTTCTCCGGTTACCCCAATTTCGGTCAATTTTGAGTTTTCATGATGCATCCGAGTTTTATTTTTCACAATTTATCCTGTTTACAATCTTGGGATACGTTTGATTTAGTAATCTTTCAGTTGAATCTGTAATGGGTATTACATAAAGATTGATAAAGATTTGTTTATGAATAACATTGATAGCCTTATGATTAGTTTTGATTTATCTCAAGTTTCTCCAATTTCAAATCGATTTAAGTTTTCAAGGTGATTCAGGTGTCTAGTTTTCTTTTTTTAATGGAACATGTTTGAGATCTTGGGATTTATTTGATTAAATATGCTTTCTGTTGAAGTTGAACATGTGATGTGTATTGAAGAATGACCTATTAGGATTTGTTTTTCAGCCAGATTGAATATATCCATGTTGATTTTGTCTTTCCTTTATGTTTTTTAATGGCCAAGATTACATGAAATCACAAATTCTCCAGTCTCTGCTGCTTTCAGGAGGTGATTGTGGATTCTGATTAGATAAAACTGCCGAACTCAAACTACTGGCTCTAAATATGTTCGATTGATGTGTTTTATTTTTCAAATGTCTTGACATGATTTTTTTATTGACTTTTCTTCATATATTTTTTTTCAATTTGACGGTTGGAGTTTGGATTTATAAAAAATAATTTATTTCGTGGTTATTAACCGAACCGAACCGAACCGAGATATTAACCGAGCCGAACCGAACCAACTTTTGTGGTTATGGTGCGGTTATGGTATGGCCAAAAATTTGGTGGTGCGGTTATGGTTTTGGCCAAACCGACCTCTAATCGAACCGTTGCCATCCCTGATCAATGGAAAGTGAGCAATGCATTTATTCAGGAAACAAGATGTGTTCACACATGGAGGTTGTTGGAACATGCAGTTGTTTTATTTTGAATTTAAAAAAGACATTTTATATTCCAAATTTTTCTAGGAACTTGATTTCCGTTTCAAGGCTTGTACATTTGGGTTATTCATTTCATTTTTTAGAAACATCTTTCAGTTTATTTTATAAATATGATTTTGTTGGGTATGGTACATCGTCTGATGGTATTTTTTTCTATTAATTTGCAAAATAATACTACTTATAATGCTATGCATGTTCACACTTGTATGAAATGATGTGTTATGAATGAAGATTCTTCTATGCTATGGCACCGGAGATTGAGACATATCTCTATAGAAAGGATTAAGAGATTAGTAAATGGAGTACTTAGTAATTTGGATTTTATCGATTTCGACACTTGTGTGGACTGCATTAAGGGAAAACAGACCAACAAGTCCAAGAAAAGTGCTAAAAGAAGTACAAACATATTAGAGATCATACATTTAGATATTTGTAGTCCAGATGTGGACTTGTGTGGTTTGATATACTTCATCTCTTTCATTGATGATTATTCACGATATATGTATAACTATTTGCTTTATAACAAGAACGAAGCACTAGATACCTTTAAAGTTTTTAAAGTCGAAGTAGATAAACAATGTGGAAAGCATATTAAGACTGTAAGAACATATAGATGTGGAAAATATTATGATCGATAAAAAAAGATGGACAAGCACATGGTCAATTTGCGAAGTTTCTTCAAGAGCATGTGATAATTGTCTAATACACCATGCCTGGTTCTTTGGACCAAAATGGTGTAGCAGAAATAAAAAACCGAACTTTAATAGACATGGTGAGGAGTATGTGAAGTAACTCCAAACTTCCTGAATCCTTATGGACTAAAGCTCTTAAAACGACAGTATATATATTAAATTGAGTTCCAATCAAGTCTGTCCCAAAGACGTTATTTGAATTATTGAAACGTTGGAAACTGATTTTGCGATATACACGCGTTTGGGGATGTCCATCTGAATTAAGAGTTTACATTCCATAAGAAAAGAATCTAGACCCAAGGACCATTAGTGGATATTTCGTTGGATATGCCGAAAGGTCTAAAGGGTATGGATTCTATTGTCCATCTTATAGAACTAGGATTGTGGAAATGCGAAGTGTCTTGATAGTGACTTGATTAGTGAGAATGATCGATTCTAGGATATTGTTTTCGAAAAGAATCATATTGATACTCAACCTTCCACTTCAAGTGACAGATTGATTATCATTCACAACACCCCTCAAGTTCAAATAGGTGTTGGACAACCAATCGTTGAAGTTCCACAAGCTGCTGATGACAATCTAGTAGATCAAGATGCTCAAGAATTGCTAGAAATTGTTGAACAATTGGTGAACAACATGATCCTAAAAAAATATTGATACAACATTAAGGAGATCTACTAGAGCAAGAAAATCGTCGATATCTAGTGATTATGTTGTATATTTGCAAGAATCGGACTATAACATCGACGCCGAAAATGGTCTTGAAATATTTTCACAAGCCATGAATTGTAAAGAATCAAGTTTATGGTACAATGCCATGAAAGATAAGATGGATTCTATGGTATCTAATAGAGTCTAGGATCTTATTGAGTTGCCTGATGGTGCAAAAGTCATATGATGTAAGTGGGTCTATAAAATGAAGAAAGACTCATTAGGAAATATTGAAAGATATAAAGCAAGACTGGTTGCTAAATGATTTACTCAAAAGGAAGGAATAGACTACAAGGAGACATTCTCTCATGTATCAAAGAAATATTCACTTCGTATCATCATGGCATTGGTTGCACATTTCGATTTGGAGTTGCAACAAATGGATGTGAAAACGGCTTTTTTCAATGGAGATCTAGATGAAGAGGTTTACATGAAACAACTAGATGAATTTTCCTCTAGTGGTAGTAAACATTTGGTATGCCAGCTTAAAAAATTTATATATGGTTTGAAACAAGCTTCCCATTAGTGGTATTTGAAATTTCATGATGTTATCTCTTCATTTGGATTTGTAGAGACCATTATGGATCTATGTATATACCAGAAGGTCGGTGGGAGTAAGATTTGTTTCCTTATTCTGTATGTGGATGACATTTTACTTTCAACCAATGATAAGGGTTTGCTATATGAGGTGAAACAATTTCTCTCTAAAAATTTTGAGATGAAGGATATTGGTGGTGCATCTTATGTCATTGGTATTAAGATCCAAATGGGGTAGATCTTAAGGTATTTTGGGTCTATCTCAAAAGACTTATATCAATAAAGTTTAGAGAGATTTCAGATGAAAGATTGTTCACCAAGTGTAGCTCCCATTGTGAAAGGTGATAGATTCAATTTGAACCAGTACCTGAAAAATGATCTTAAAAGGGAACAAATGAAGAACATTTCTTATGCTTCTACTGTTTGGAGCCTAATATATGCTCAGGTATGCACAAGAACTGACATTGCTTTTGTTGTTAGGATGTTGGGAAGATATCGAAGTAATCCAGGTGTGGACCACTGGAGAGCTGCAAAGAAAGTGATGTAGTACCTTCAGGGGACCAAATACTACATGCTTATGTACAGACGAACTGATAATCTGGAAGTGATTGGCAACTCTGATTCTAACTTCGCTGGTTGTGTTGATTCGTGAAAATCAACATCAGGATACATCTTTATGTTTGCCAATGGAGCTTTATCTTGGAAAAGGGCAAAGTAGTCCTTGGCTGCTACTTCCACTATAGATGTTGAGTTCGTATATTGTTTTGAGGCTACCTTGCATGGTGTGTGGATGAAGAGTTTCATTTCTGTACTAAGAGTTATGGATTCGATTTCTAGGCTAATGATGATATATTGTGATAATTCAATTGTGGTCAATATGGCTAAAAACAATAAAAGTGGTAGTTGAAGCAAGCACATCGACATCAAGTATCTGGCCATAAGGGAACGTGTTAAAGAGAAAACAATGGTTATTGAACACGTTAGCACTGAATTGATGATTGTTGATCATTTGACAAAAAGCATGCCATCATTAAAATTTAAGGATCATGTAGATACAATGGACTTCGTTCATTTGTGTGATTTTCGTTGTAAGAACAAATGTTAATTTAATGAAACTCTATTTGTGATGTTTTCTCATATTTATTTTTCCTTGTGTACACATTTATTTTGAGAAATATCATTGATGTTTGGACCTAGAATAAACATATGGTTTATTCATTAAGTAATATGGGCTAGTGGTTAAGGGACTTAGTGTATTGTGATACATGGAAGATAATACTAGTATTTAAAGAACTTATCGTCATGATTCATGTATTTTGTTTCTTACTATAGTGAACGATGGAATATGTGGATCAANAAAGCCTTCCAATCTCCTACAATAAAAAATACGCCATCTAATTAAGGTTGGGTGAGGTTTAGAAGCATCTGAATCCGAAAATAAATCATTTCCTTAACCCTTAAGTGTGTGTGAGAAGTAATGGCGGGAGGTACTTTTTTTTTTTTCCGCGTTTGATCTATATGCTTTGTAGATTATTGAAGCATGTTTAGATCGTTTAGATTTTGCTTATATCAATTTCATTAGGCACGTAGTAATTATTTTTTTCTTTAAAAAATGAGGTGTACCCACCCCATCGATCCCTTCAAAATTGCCCTTGAAAAGAAAATCATTTCCCTTCGATAATCTCCCCACATTCTCCCCCAAAGTCTAGGGTCTCCATTTTTCAACTCTTTCAATTTCTAAGATTTCACTTTCAGAATTTTTCCTTTTGCTTTGTTTTGGGTCGATAGAGTAAGTTGTAATGGTTCAATAGAGTGGTGGTGGCAGTGCAATCAGAGTAGAAGTAGAATAGATCGACCACAATTAGCCCCTGTTTGGTGACTTTCAAAACAAAAAAAAAACGTTGTTTTGAGTCATGAATTTTTGGAGAATGTGTGATTAAAAGAAGAGAAAATTTTTGGATTTATGTGTAGAATGTTTTATCGTGTGAGTGTGATTGAAAATAAGTATTCAGAAAAAAAGAGTTTTAAAAGATTAAAGAATGATAGACAAATAGATGCTTAATTACCATCACATTTTTTTGGGTCAACTCGTGCCGTCCATTTGTGTTTGTGTTGCAACTAAGTTAAAGGTTTGACTGTGGTTGCTATAAATAAAAGATTTGGATGAAGGTTGTTGAAAAACGAAAGATTTGGGACCGCAGTTGCAATTATGTCTTACAGTAATTCCATTAAAGGGCTCGAATCTCTGATTCTTCCAGATCGTTCTTTCTCAAAAATTTCCGCAGAAATTCACCCTATAGCTCGTAAAAAAATTCGCAGAAGGCCAAATTAGGGTTCTCTTGGAGAAAAGGATAGGGAAAAATGTCTCACTTTGGGAGATCGGGGCCTCCTGATATATCGGATACATATTCTCTTCTCATCCTCAATATATCTTTCCGTAAGTTGATAATAATTTGTTCATTTTTTGCACTTTTCCTCCCTTATTGCTTTTTTTTTTTTTTTGATTTCTTAATGAATTTATGAAACCCTAGCTTGATATATTTTGTTTGGTTTTGGTTGATAATTTTTTTTTGAATTTGCATTTTTTTCTTCTCTCTTTGTTGATTTTGTGCCTTTTAGATTATTGCATGAAACCCTAGTTTGATACTTTTTTTTGTTGCGTATAGGCACGTCTGCTGATGATCTCTTCCCGCTGTTCGACAAGTATGGAAAGGTAGTTGATATCTTTATTCCCAGAGATCGAAGGTACATTTTTTCCCTTCGAATATATAATGTTTGATTTTTATTTTTCTATTTGAGATCCTCTGTTGTGGTTCTTTCCTTTCGCTCTATCCAAACGGAGCTTTGATACTCATGGTTGTATGGAAATACTTCCCAGTATCGTAAAATAATTTATTACATTTGGGTACTAGGAAACTTATGATAGGTATAAATTATGATCTTGGAGTTTTTACGTGATAATGATATTAGTTTTAACTGTGTGTGCATTTTTATGGTTCAAGATTTGCAAGAGAGAATGATATTCGTTATTTTAATTTAATTGATTTTCCTTTTTATGTAGTTTCTGAACATCCTATTTTTGGGTAGTCTGTGATATTCTATAGATTTGTTGTTTGATTATGTTTTGTAGGACTGGTGAATCACGGGGGTTTGCATTTGTCCGTTATAAGTATCAGGATGAAGCGCAAAAGGCTGTGGAAAGACTAGATGGTAAGATCACTTTCTTTGACCATATCATCAGAAAACACAGCGAAAATTAGGCAATATTAAGCAGCGTGATTTGAATGTGCTAAATTTTTGGTAATTAATTACTCTGCATAAATGGCATAACTATACCCTGCTGAAGAGATTATAAAATCGGTAGAAACAACTGGCCTTTTCATTTTACAAGTACTAGTAAGTCTCTATATGTTAGTGCTTAGTTGTATCACAATGGTGCTCTGGGAAAGGAACAGTGACACAAGGTATAATGAGAAGTGGTTTCATGTTAAGACATTTGGAAAATTAGTTGAAATGTGACTCAATTATCACTGGATGTAGAAACTTCCGTTGTTTCATAAGTACTTATTTAGACGGACTTGTTTTGTGCTGGTTAGCAAATCTAGAGCCCGTTTGGTGTACATTAAAATGAGAGAATACATTTTTTTGAAGTGATGTGATGAGAAATATGCGGTTGAAAAAGAAGGAAAAGTTATTGATGTGATGGAAAATATTATTTTATTGAAGAATTTGTGGATGAAAATGAATAGAAGAATGAGAATGAAAAAAATAATGTGGATCAAACAGGGGCCTAGTGTAGAAATGAAAAATCATCTTTAAATTCATTCATTGCCTAAATTTGCTCTCTTCCATATGTATGAAAACATCTTGGAAAACCCGCATCTAATGATAGAAAAATGCGTTTTTTTTCATAGAAATAACAATTTTCCCATTATATATGTTTTAGTGGTAGTTTTCCGAGTCAATCTGGGGGAGAATTGGATATTGGTTATGGTCATCTGGATCTGACGTGTGTTCCATAGTTATAGTAACTATACATTATCATTTATCGAGCAATTGTTTAGCCTCTGTTTGGGAAGGATTTATAGGCGGTTTAATTTATAAATAGATTGAAATGACTGATGGATGAGTGGATAGTAATTATGGATCTATTGGTATGTGTGGTTGAAAATGAAGTTTGACCATTTACAAGTGATTTATATGTTTTCCCAAACGGAGGCTTTGTTGGGTCGTCTAGATCATTCAAACATTAATTCGGTTGAGATATCAAACTATGCTGGCATCTTATTATGAGGAAGCGAAATAAAGTTTTTAAGCATTTAAAACAGGACCAAGGATTATTGATATTTAGTTTGCATGAAATGTTTGTTGGAATATATGCGTGACTGAGACGGACAAACTATGATTGTTTTTGAAGAAATTATTGGAAATCTTGTTGAATGGACAAAATGACAATGAAAAATGTCTTATGTTTTTTATTCTTGCTGTGCAATCTGATATAGAAACTGACAGGAACAATATCATATTGCAGGGGAAGTGGTTGATGGCAGAGAAATCGCTGTTCAGTTTGCGAAGTATGGGCCAAATGCAGAACGGATGTGAGTGAATGTTGATTTGCATTAATAATTGAGCTATAGTCCCATTTTGCTTTACCCTGATTACTCTTCTGTAGTAACATCTTGAATTGTATTAATATTACAGTTGATGAGTATTTGTTCCTCACTGTTTACAGTAAATTGATTTATGACATTTATTTTCCTTTTGGACACAAATTCATTGTCACCATTGTCTAAAATGTTATCCTTTGTCTATTACGGGATAATTTACTTCATCATATTTTTGGTACAATGTGATGGTTTGTTTCTATTTTTTAATTTTTGTTTCTGTCTGCAGTCACAAAGGAAGGGTTATTGAAAAGGTTCCCAAAGGTCGTGGACGATCAAGAAGCAGGAGCCCTCGGAGAAGGTAATTTTTAAGCATCTACTCGCTCTAGTCCATTTTGGAGTTGTGTAAGGCTAATTTTGTTGTGACTATTTTTCCTTTTTTTTTTTTTTGTTTATTCTAATGTAGGACTATTAACTGCATTAATATTCCGGAAAAAAATTGAATCTAAAGACCTATTTTGGGGTTTTATCTTTGACTGGATTAATTGTTTATAACTTCATATTTGCAGTACAAATGTGGTGATCAATTTGATCTTTAATTAATTACCTTTTATTTTTTTGATTGTGTCCTTTGTTCCACAAGAGGTCAAATTCTGATTGTCTATCTTTTCTTTTCCTTTTAAATGTTTGCTGATAAAAGGGAAATTTATCAATTTTAGTGTCAATTTCCTACACAAATGGATGTCCCTTTTCTTTTTGCTATTGACAAATGCCTGATCTGATTTGGTTTTGTTAGAGCTAGTCAGTTTAACAAGAATTTGAGACAGTATTTGAAACCAGGAATGCAGTTTCGAGGAAGTGATCTGGTATTGGTTTATCAGATCATTTGACTGAGTTTGAGGTCTGGAATATTGGAGAAAGGAAGACAATTTCTAACTAGCTGTTGGTAACTAAGTTTTTGTTTCTCGGGGATGCTAGGAAAAGATTTGGGAATGACTACATGAGAGCTTGGGAAAATGTCAAGAGTTTGCACTTTTAAGAAACAACTCAATTTTGGCAGTCTCCCAATAGTGTCTTTGCTGCCACTTCTTGATATGATTTCATGAAGATTGTTATGTTAATATTTGAAAATCATTTATCAAAATGCTCTTCATTTGTCATTTTTACTTTTCCATTAGATTCTACTGAGACCTATTGATCTGTAATTTTTTACAGGCACCGAGATGATTATCGTAGAGAACACAGGGGAAGCCGGAGCAGAAGTCGGGAAAGGTATGAGCGTGACAGGTACCGTGAGAAGAAACATGGTCATCGGTTCCGGAGCAGGAGTTATAGTGCGAGCCCAGACCATGATAGATACCGTGGCAGGGGACGGCACATAGATGAGCGCCTGAGGAGTAGTAGATCATTTGAAAGGTTTTCCCATCATAATAATTCTATTCTTCAAGTTTTGGTTCCTCGTATAACACATTATCATAAAAAGGATTATTTTAAAATATTGCAGTGCCTCTCCGCCCCAGCGTAGCCCTAGCCCTTATAGGAGTGTGTCCCCACGAAGGACACCATCTCCTATAGGTGGAAGTCCTGAGAGGCGCAGCCATCGTGAGCGGTCCCCAAGTCCTAAAGCCTCGAAGCATGTCTTACCAGAACTGAGTGATTGATTTTGTAGCTCCTCTCCTCAGAATACATATAATGTAAGGGTCTAAACTAGATCTGTTATCACACAGTGTTGGTTTAAAATGTGTTCTAAACTATGTTTTATTTTATTTTGGATTTGTAGGAGTGATCTGCCTGATTTTGGATATGCAACTCCTAGAAGGGGATTATACCTTTTGTGGCAGTTTAGCTGATATGTCGAACTTGAATCTAATGCATGTTCTTCTAGGAGCGTTAGGGACCTTGGTAGGATTTGACCTTTTGATTTCGACAATTATTATGTTAAATGCATTGTATACATCATATTGCTTGTGGTTGGTGTTTATTGCTCATGGATTCTTAGACATGCTTTAATATTTGTATGAATCTTGTGTTTCTGGTTCCGTTGATTGCTTGTGCAAACTTCTCTTATTCCATTTTGCCCATATTTCAATCTCCACATTCTGCACTTTTCACTGTGATACATTGTTCCCCACTCAAGGTGTCAGTTAATAGAAGTACTAACTTGTTATGAAACTCCCACTGGGTTTATAGTGGTGCTCGAGAAAAGATTTGAGTGGGGTTGATGGCTAGACGATGATGTGATTGTTGATGCTGTCTGTATTAAGTAGATGCTTGATCATCATTAGATGCTGCTGGTTGTGAGCAGCAGATGCTGATTCAAAGAATTTTGAGTGTTCTATGGATGGCATCATTGGTAAGCCTTCTTTCTAATTAAGAATATATGACCGTATTCATATTCTTACTAAGATAAAATGAGGATCTGATTTTGACTCCCTTTGTTTTTATAGCCATGTGACTTTGTTATCCTCTGTGAACTTTGGTTGTTTGCACTATTTGCCCTTGAAATGGGAACCAGTGCTGTGCTGGACTCGGTTGACACAAATTGAATCTACTCATACTCTGAGGGCTACTGGACCTGATATCCAGTTACAGTGCTGACATTATACTCCTTGAAATGTTCACTCTAAACATTCAGCGATCAGGACATAATTGGGTAATGAAATGGGGTCAATAATTGCTTGGGGAATGATTTTTATGTGTCTGTGGTTTATAATGCTAGTGTGTTTAGTTATTGATGTGTGTGTTTTGTGATTATATATTAGTGTATGGCCCGTGCTGCAGCTGAAAGGATTGCTGTCTGATGATTATAGATGTAGCTTTGAAGTAATATTGAATCCACTTCATTGGCTGTAGATGCACCCTGTTGCTGGATTATCTGGTTGTGTGATGAGGACCTGTGATTTGCAGCAATGAGACTTTTCAAATGGGCGTATTGGTACTAAAACTTATACTTCTAGGGCTATGTGTTCTTTGTAAATTAAGGAATTATAAAAAAGTGCTGTAGGCATGAGTGACTTTTCAAATAGGAGTGTTGTTACCAAGACTTGCACTTCTAGATATGTGTGTTCTTTGTACATGAAGGAAATTTTAAAATGGAAACCATGAATATTGTTATAGCCATGAGTGACTTTTCAATTTGAGTATTGATACATTAAGTAATTATAAAAATGGAAACCATAAATATAGAAATTTTAAAATGGAAACCATGAATATTGTTATAGCCATGAGTGACTTTTCAATTAGAGTATTGATACATTAAGTAATTATAAAAATGGAAACCATAAATATTGCTATAGCGATCTGCTCGACTCAAAACTGACTTCTTAAATTGTATGTTTCGATACCATCACTAGTCCTATGACTGAATGTTTGATCTTTCTGTGGGGGTAGTCTCGTAGATTCTACCTTCTTTAGCTATAGAAGATAGGATTTGCTTTATGTTATGTGGTGCATAGAATTCTGATTTGTAGCATGTTGATTAAGTTATCAATGACATAGTTATATTATTCCTAAATGTCAGTGAGCTGAATAGATTTGAGTTTGTATGATGGTGTCATGGCAGGAGATTTCCTGATATCAAGGTTTGATTTTTGATATATCCCTTTTTTTAGCTGAGAAAATCATCTAAATTTTATGAAAAATTCGTCATGGAAGTTGACTTTGTCATTGCTAGCTGTTAGGGAAAGACTATCTGATTATAATACTACTGGCACGTTTTATCAAGTGCTTTGCTGATTGGTTCAAGTGTGTGTTGCTTTAATGTTGACTGGTAACCGTTCCTTTTGTACTGGTTCCGTTTTCGCCAGTCAGTTGGTAGTTACGTATAGAGAAAAATGAACAAAAATCTAGTTTCTTTATGCTCTCTGAATCTTCTATTTTCTCATGGTCCTTGTTTTGTTGAATTATTCCCCCCCTTCCATACCATCTTGGCCGTAACATTTTCTTCACTATGCAGATTGAAGAGAACATACGATTTTTATGGTCTATAGGCAGTAGGGACGTTTTAGATGATTTGGAAGGCAAATTGTATGAATCAAGCATCACTGTGCTGCCTCTTGAATTACGCCGAGGGTGAATTTTTAAAAATTGAATATGAAACCAATAATGTACGCAGCAGCTTTACGAAGGACTCGAACTAGAGTGGCTTACTTAAGCGGGAATAGGGGGTCTAGTTTTTTATTCAATATTCCTGTAACTCGATACTGTTGAAAGCACCTCCAGGTTGAGTTTTCCAGCTCAAATGCTGCTGCTGCGAGGCAAGGAGGTACTGAAAACCAGACGAGTTGGTCCCTCGCCTTGCAGCAGTGGCATCTTTAAAATTATTACGAGTCATTTCTAAGTTAAGGCGGCTCCTCTGAGTCTATGGTAATCCAAGCTGCAGCTCCTGGAGTCTGCTTGGATTGACCAGCGGCTGGTCTCCTTGGTTCAGTTGAATGAATTTTTAGTAGAGATGGCAATGGGGCGGGTTCGGGACGGAGCACTCCTGCCCAGCCACTCCCCCACCTTGTTCCGCCCCGTGCCCCGCTCCACCTTAGACTAGACGGAGAGGGTTCGGGGCAAGGGCTTGCTTCGTTTCCTGTCCCGTTTATTTATTTATTTTTGAAAAACTTCTAATTAACTATTTTTTGTTTTTAATTGGTTGTTAATTATTTTTTTTATTCTTCACGGGGCGGATTCAGGCCGGGGCACCAACTCTCCGCCCCTCCCCACCAACCTGTTGGAGTGGATTTTCTTCTTCCCATTCAGGGCGAGGCAGGGGTGGGGCGGGTTGTTTTCCCCGAGACATAACATAAATAGAATAAAGTATATGAAACCGGACATGAATTTGCTTTATATTTATATGACTAATGGATTCAAGGAACAGACTTTTTGCGGGCTTGGTCCATTTATTCGATGTAAAGCATGACTACTACTTCTGGTCTCTTTGACAATTATTTTTCGGAAGTTCATTTTCAACTACACATTATTAAAATAAAGTATTATACATTTTTCGATGTAAATCAAATTTTTTTTTTACTTTTCAATCGCACATTCTTCGAAAAAATTACTGTTACAAAATTCATTTTTTTCAAAAAAATAAAAAAAAGGATTGTCTAACAGGGCTTTATCTTCACTTGTTGATTGTTAGCTATCAGATCATTTTAAAAAGTTTAACATATTCTTGCCAATCTATTGAGAAAGGTTGAATGTGTTGATTAGATATGCATTTTCTCCTTCAATATATTTTCGGCCATTTTATCGTCTTCGCTGATATAATGGACGGCTAAAAAATGATTCTTTCTTCACGCAAGTATAAATGGATATTTTAAAAATGGAACCAATCTCTAACCTGACGTCATGCAGAGAATTGAAATGAGGACGGGATTGGATGCAAAGAGGATATCACAATTATGAGAGATCACATTAAAGTGATTAAACATATTCCTAAATTTTAGATTTATTAGAAGGGAAGAATTCTACTACTGCCATCGTATTTTCCAATAGTTCAGGACACTTACCAGTGGGATAAAATAATCAATTCAAATTATCAATATATTATCTTCCAATTGGAATTCACAATTGCATAAAGTTTCACGAAAATGTCTAATGACTAATTGCAATGTCTAATGGCTGTCCAGCTTAAGATAGAAAACATGTTCATGTGGCAACTTCCAAAATCAAGTAACAGAGCGAAAAAAACTCCATTTAGATTGTGTGAAGTGTCTCCATGTCACTAGAATACATCACATTAGCAAGCAGCAATAATTTGAACACAAAGAAACAACAATCAGATGCAGTTATATTTTCGATCCAGGACCTCTGGATATCTACATTATAGTAAAAGAAAAAAAGGTCTCTGCATTTCTCTAGCATAATCCTCTCATTTTATTTTCTGCTTGATCGTTTGGGTAGGACTGCAAATAATTTCGGCAAAGCTTTAGTTTTACTACCGAGTTTCTGTAATACTTCAATAACAACGTATGGAACCATGCTAATTCCCATCGGTTTCAAGAAGACTGCAGAAAACCAATGCAAACATGGATGAATCAAAACAGTACACTCGAAGAGAAACAAAAGAAATAGGGAATTCATACGAAGCAACATGCCTTCAAATTTTTATTTATTTTTGCATCACACAGTAATTTCCTCAGCTAACGCTGGATGCAATTTGTTGGACCTCGTCATAACTCCCCGACACCTCATTATAAGAGTACCTACATAAATATCATATATGTGCCATGATCAGAAATACACTACTCTACCAGAAAATGTCACTTCAATCCGCCACGAAAGTGTTCCACGGCGAGCAGAAAAAATATTAAATAATAAAAATTAAAAGAATACGCGAGTTGACACAGAGCTAATCAGCACATTCAAGTAACTTGGCAGTTGCCGAAAAGGAGTGGATACAAAATGACAATGGCATTATGTTCTCACCGAGATCTAATAACAAACTCGTTGCGAGTGAATTTCAGGCTCTAACATTTGCACCTACAAGTCGTGCCACCAGAGATACCAAGCAAAATACAAAAAGATCGTATCAGGATAAGAAAGCATTTTTATCATTTTCTATCGATTCATCTTGCCAATCACCATTCAACCAAACCACGGACAGATAGCAGAGTTACGCAGTTATAGCTCAACTCAAACATTATGAGGTTAAAACCACGTTTCAGGCATTTATGCAGCGTGTATTGAACAAGGGAGAACTTTGACAGAAGTTGGTCTAAGAGCAAAACTAGACAAAAAATCCAAACAAACTCATCCTCTTTAGTGAACAGGGAACTGGCACTTGCTGAATCTGCTTTTGTGATACTATTACCTAAAAGGAACAGATAGAGAAGACGAGAAAGCCATCACCGCTGTATTCAGCATGAAATTCATGGAGAGACTTAACAGATGAGCTTCTGATGGTGTAGAAAATTCATACCAATGTTCACATTTCCACAGCTTCTTATTCCTACAACTATTTTGACCTTGTTCACACACGAGCAAACTTTTGGGGCATTTACAAAAATCAGATGTATCAATAAAAAGGACATTGCCTACTCTTTGCTAAAACGACCAGACAGAAAGAGACAGAGACAGGAAAAGAGAACAAAGAATTATAACACGGTGCATAAAAGATGCATAAATGTTTCATGCATCAGGAGAGTGAAGTCTTAGATATACAATGTTTATTCTTTATGGGCTTGCACAGTAAACCATGAAAATCAAGATGCACAATAGTAGCGTTTACACAGGCAATATAGTTAAAGGATGTCAAGAACAGATAAGCACCTTCCTAAAGAGATCACCTTACTTGCACAAACAGCTAATTTCACTGTATTGCATTAGCACTTCAGAAGTATGTTTTTCCTGATTTTTAATTCACTTAGTGTCTGTTTGATTGCAAAGGTGGAATTTGGGTGGAAAAAAAATGAATTACAGGGAATTGTATTACCTAAAATTTGTTTTACTGGGAATTGTAATTAATTGTGTTTGATTGGTATAATTTTTCACCTGGAAAATGTTGAAATTTTGGATCTTTTGGTGTTCGTTTGAAATTGTTTTCTACGGAAATTGTCTATTAAAGGGAAATTTTTTTTTACAATTTTCTATAGAATTTGTTTTTATTGGAAAAAGAAAAAAATAGAAAAAGTAGCCTGGAATTTCCTTGAAAACCAAGAATTTGGTGGAAAAATGAGGTCAATGTGGAAAATGAATTCCATGGAAAATTTAACCTATCAAACAGCCTAAAAGATGGAAAATGGAAAACGAATTCCAACTTCCCTAGAAAATTGGGTGCTATCAAACAGGCCCTTAGATAACATTGGACAAAATATGTAGTACAAAACCCACAACCTTTTAAACATAAGACCCCAACAGTAAGACACATCACATGAATGAAGACAAATTTTTGACAGTGTATTGTTACCATTGTCCTGATGCTGCAGAGCAATATAGCCCCGAAGAAGGGTCATAGTAGTAACCCAAACTGCTGCTGTAGTAGTATCTGACATTCAAATTGTGAGAGGATATCAGATTATTGAGAACAATGCATAGAAATTCATGTCAAATTTTCACTGTCCACAAAATTTCGAGCAAAAATTCCAAATCAGTATTGGTATCTGGTACGGAAGTTTTTGATTTCTGAGATAACATGACAATAACATCAAACAATAGTAAATATGAGAGATATAAGTGCCTTGTAATCTTTCTTACAGTCAGACCATAATGGACGTAAACTGCTTCACAGGTAGTAATCGCAATTGTTAAGAAATATGCGCAATAATAAGCATCTATTATCTAGTGACAAACACGCAATACTTTTGTTAAATCGGCTGTCTTTCAAGGATTGACAAAACTCGTAGAAACAGTTGGAGAAGAAGTGACTTGAAATTCTTCTTATTCTGTAAGCAATAAAATTGGCATAAAGTGATTGTGTGTGCTTTGCACAATGGTTAAAAGGTGAAGATATGTACCCAGAAGACTCATCATACACATAATCATTCTGCAGATATCCACCTGGAGTACAAATAAGTTGCAAGTTATGTAATGTTGCTAAATTCCCAATTCAAAGCTTTGAATGCTATAGTCTTTGCTCACCCTCAGAAGGCTGAACAGGAACAGATCCACTCCCATCAGAGGCTAGATTTACAGCAATATTTACATCATCTTCCGCGAACATGTCAAAAGCATCATCACTGTCATTTGTGTTGGCAGAAATTTCAAGCTTTGACTTTTCCTGTCCTGAACACGTGGAGGTACCCTGCATCCTTGCATGAGCTAACTTCTCATAACCCTCTGAAGATCAATAAAATAAACAATCAGGAGACACCAAATTTATATTATACCAGTTGGAGCACAAATAGAATTAGAAAGCTAAATAGAAGGCTCTAAATTCAAAAGATCTTAAATTGTTTGAGCCCGTCCTCAATCTAAATATCTTGTTTGATTTGAATCAAATTTACACTTTTAGGTATGAAAGTATCCACTCCGATCTGAACTTTTTTTGATAGGTAAAGGTAAACTAGAATAATGTATAAAAACAACTTCCCATTTTCGTAAGTTTCCATCATCTTGAAATATCCTCAAGGAAAAAATTTCCATCCAAATTCAGATGTAGACGGAAATAAGAAAGGTGATTTTCACTGTTTTGGCATGAAAAGTTTGTCCCTCTCATTTCTTGAGATGGGACTGAAAGAAATAAAGCTCCAAAAAATAAAATCTATACCGCCAAACCCTTTCTAAGGGTAATGATGATGATGTAAATTATGAACACAGTGAGAACGAAAGAAAAAATGAGAAGGACGAGAACCATATTGAAAGATTAACATGAAGGGGAACCTGTTGAAGAAAAGAAGACAGAAAATCAGCTGTAGGACGTACCTGCTTCACGCTGGAAACTCTCTTGTTTTTCATCATACACATCTGAAACGAATATCAAAAAAAGGATTACTGTTAACAGATCAGGATCCATGTTTCAGCTAGATTCTCTTAAAATATTGAAGGAGACGCTCAACCGTAATCCCCACTCTCCATCAGTTTCATAGCATCTTCAGTTAGCTGATCAAACAACAATTTAGTTTCTGCTGACATCTTCTGCTTCTTGTCACCTGAGGTTCCTTTCAATCTCCTCAAAGCTTGCAAAACCTGTAAAAGGAATTCGACTACTGAGAGAAAACTAAGGGTGTGAGTGATGAATATTATTGAGGAAAAAATGTATTTTAAATAGTGATATGATGGAAAATATATGGTTAAAAAGTAAGGAAAAGTTATTGAATTGATGGAAAATATTATTTTATTGAAAAATGTGTGGTTGAAAATAAGTTTTGAAAGAATGTGTACCAAACAGGGGCTAAAAAAAAGTTCACAAAAATGTAAAATTTGATTGCAGCGTGGCTTAGGGGAAAATGTAGCAGCTCCGGATTAGAGAAGCAATTTAAGCATTAGCGATTGTACTATGAACAGTTAATTACCCCTTCTGTGGAACAAGTGAACTTTTTCAATAAAAAAGTAGATTGCCCCCCTCTTAGTGGTGGGGGTACAGAATTCTAAATATTATGTCACTACCCACCGTACTTGGTGTGAACATTGTTCTACCAACCTACATATCTTGGATCAGCCACCATATTGGTATGCATTGAACTCCACATCTTTATGTTATTGCACAAATAAATTAAGGGACTATGTTGCAAAAGACAACTGTAACACATACAAAATGATATGATCTCAAAAGGTAAGCCGTGATACTTTATCTGACCATTGATGTGCATGGCATTTAATTGGAAAACTGAACAATCCCTCTGAACACTGCAGTAATTCTAAGCGAGGTACTAAATAGAACTGTTTTATATTGAAGGAAAACTGATGAAGAAGTCAAGCAAAGAGGGAAAATAAAATTAAAAATCCCAGGACGATCAAGAATCTGCAACCTACACTCAAAGAGAGAGAGAGAGCCGTATTGAATGATTACCGTTTCTCCAGGCTCGAGAACATTAGCAATCCGCCTCTTTATTTTTGCAAGTTCTTCAGAGGTAAGGTCACGAGATTCTTCATCGTTACTAGTTGGAATAGAACTTTTTCCAGTATACTTTTCATAGACATCAACACTATCAAGCCACGCATCCTGCAAAACTATGCATAAGAATATTGGATTTGCTAAATTATCATACCTTAATTTAAATTTGTTACCTTGATCTCATTCTCATTCACGTATTCGACATAATTTCCATTAGCATCAAAGTATCCTTCTTCTCTTTCTTTATCCAGATTAAAAGGATCTATCTGGACTCCTTCCTCAACCAGTGTTTCAGTGTCCTGCAAAAAGTGAACCCCCATCATTCTGTGTGCTTCTATGATCAATCTAGTAAGAAAACCATAAATGTGGTAAAAGTGGAAAGTGATAATATTTGGATATGGCCTCCCCTCCCCTCCCCACCCCCACAAAAGCCAAAAAGCAAGACAACTAAGAACCAGCAGAAACTTAATCAGCAATCAAGAGATGTCCAAAATCACACAAAACAATGAATACAAAGTCTGAGCTACATGTAACCAACTGATCACATGGTACTTCCCAAAATCGAGGCTGAAAAACATTCTGATGGTTACTACAGAGGTAGCAGGCAACCAATCAAAAAAAATAAAAATAAAAATTGTCTACAACAAAACAATTCAATCACAATGTGTTCTTCTAATTGAGATTCTACAACCCAGGCAGGCCTATATTTACCGTCCAGCACACAAAAACCATTTAATAAGATGAACAGATAATTTAAGTTCACTGGAATGTTTTATCAAGTAGTTCTAGAATCTGCTCCAAAATACTGCCATATTTATTCAAGGGAAGGTTTTCTTCTTTTTTCTTTTGCGAAAAAACTGATCCAGGCAAAAATAAAAGCAACCATCACACGTTGGTGGGATCGGGAATAAACTATACATCGCTGCTCATAGAGAAAAAAAAAAAAGAAAAGAAGAAGATTAACCCTCGACAAAAAGCTTGGGAGAGACAGCATCCTATGGATGTTGCAAACCTTTGATATATTTTTTGCCGGGAATGACACAGCTTCTCTTTTTAAAATAATGCATCAAATAAAATGATTTTTCAACCTCGTTCTTAGACTGAAGATTACCACCCCGAGAATAGATATGCCTATGATTCAAATGCAAAATTTTCATAGGGTTTTGCTCAAATGTCGCCCTTTATTTTTCAATTATTTTTATTTAGAAATAAAGAGTGAAATAGATATCTGTATGGGTCTCTTCAGGTAATTATTATTAAGAAATTTAATGCAGTACATCCATAAGCTGCCCTGCATATTTTTGATAAAAGAAAGAATTATTAACTATACCTTGTATTGGACTTCAGCTTTTGTTATGTCAGGAAGGAAATCTCTGTTTTCATCATCAAGAAGTTCCTCTGCAATCTTATTCCGCCGCACTGTACGCTCTTTGGCAGCAAGATGGGGATCACTCCAATTAGGAACATCTTTACTGGGAGCATCCTCAAATACATAATCTCCCAACTTCACCTTCTTCCCTTTCGGAAACCTCACCCTCTTTTCCCTGAATTAATAATTGAAGATACAAAAACCACGTGAGCCAAAATCACAACACACGTGAAAATGCTACATCAAAAACTCAAAACAAAACAACGGAAATATCTTCATCAGTTTTTCTAAGTACCTACTGTAATCATTTCAACAAGTTTACAAGTAAAAAAGATGTGCATATCATGCTCTATTTTATTTCTCAATTTCTTTTCGATACTGAATGTATTTGTTTTAATTTAAAATGTTAAAAACAGAATACATAATTAAATACACATATACATGTGTATTTACAAACCCTAACAATGTTTTAAGAAGCAATAATACTCACCAAGCCAAATAGTCGAAAATAGGGTTCAAAAATTAGTAGATAATTGACGAATATACGTGTGTGTGTGTGTAGAGAGACAGGGAGGGAGGGAGTTACGGAGGGGGTTTGTTTGATTCGGCGTCTTCAACAAAGGGGCGCTTCAGGTTGCTTCGAGATGGCCCTCCTTCCATTTTCTGATTTGATTTTTCTTATTCGAATTTCGAAATGGACGAGTTTTGGTAAGAGCTGGTGGCAGTAGAAGGCAGAGGTGGAGGAGGTTGAGGTGGAGGTGGAGGTGCAGGTGACGACTTATTACTTTTTTTTTTTCCAATTATTGAACAAATTGTCACATAAATTTAAGTGAAATTTTTAATGGATAGTTATATGTCCACTACAAATTTTATTAAGTACACTACATTTTTTTTATTTACTTAGATATCCTTAGGTAAAATTATATAATTAGGATTTTAGTATACATTTTTATTAAATAAATTATTGTTACACTACAAATATAAAACCTAATTTCTTTATTTCTTTTTCCTCGACATCTCATTGCTCATGGCCTTTCCAATGGCTTTTGCTTTCTTCGATGGTGGTAAGATAATTTTGTTCTTCACGATAAATGAATTTATACTCTATTTGACCACAATTTATTGATTAATTTTTTCAATTTATTTGTCGAGTTTAGAAATTAAGAATTTGATTTTGTGCATGTTAATTCAAGCAATTTATTATGAAATTAAAACGATCAAAAGTGTGCTACGTGCAAGTCTATCATGTTTACCCCAATCTTGAGTTTCATTCTGAATCAACTCATAAAAACTGTCATAATTAGAAAGATAACCTCTAGGCACTTTCATTTCCGAGTGAGTCTTCTTGAAGCATTCCTTTAGAAATTACATATATTTGCTTTCAGAAAGACCAGAATGAGGGGAAAGGTTGAGAAAAATGATGATTAATATTGGGTGATAAGTACACCACAATATTGTATTCTTTTGTCAATTTTTTGTTTTTATTGAATTAGGAGTACAATTGTAAATTTGTTGTGGTGTGCATTTATTAAAAATATATTTTAATTGTGCCCCTGTTTGACACACTTTTTGTTTGAAAAATAATTTTTGGGATAGTGATTGATGGAAGATTGTGTGGTTAAAAAGTAAGCAGAATTTTTTAATTTATGTGTAATATTATTTTACTAATAGAATGTGTGATTGAAATAAAGAAAGAGAAATAAAATGAGAAAAAAAGGGTGACAAACATGGGCATAATGTGTTGTAGTAATTGAAATTTGTAGTGGTAATATAATTACCCATTTTTAATTTGTCTTTTAGAGTATTTCTTTTTTCTTATTATGCCCCTGTTTGAGACAAGTTAAAAATTTCATTCTCATTTTCAACACACATTCTTCAATGAAATAATATTTTTCATCACATTAATAATTTTTTATTCTTTTTCAACCACACATTCTCTATCAATCTACTATTGTAAAATACATTGTTCCAAAATAATGTAACTTAAACATACTCTATATGTAATCAACCGTTTCACGGTTAGTCACTCGGTTTATTAACTAAAATTAACATGCCATTTGTTATTTTACATCAAATTCCTATAAAAAATCTTCCATTTGGACAAATCACCCCAGAAAATTATCCAAATAACTTCAAAAGTAAGTTTTTAATCTCCAAAGTAACTTTTAATTTATCAAACGCCTTACCAAACAAACCCTTTATCCAAGTGGTCAATAGTTTTGGAAAATTGGTGGGAAGGAATTCATAAAGATGAGTACAGTGTGTCACTTTATTGATGCCATGTCAAATTCTTATGTTAGTTTTAACCCATGTTCCTCTCTCATTTTTTTAAATATTCATTTTTAACTACACATTCACACAATAAAGAGCTCTACACATAAACTCAAAACTTTCTTCTACTTTTTAATTACACATTCTCCAAAAATTCACTATTCAAAACAATTTTTTTTTTCAAAAAATTAACCACCAAACAATGGCTCGGTGACCGTGTGATCATTTGTGAATCATTAATAACATTAATGACTAGAGAGGTTTTTACATTGCTTTTAGAGTATTACTATTTGGCACCATTGAAGTTACAACATGTGTGGTACCAAGTGTCATTAATTAAAAATAACAATTAAATGAATTACATAATTTCATTTTTTATTGAATTTATCACATAATTTTATTAAAAATATATTTTAATTGGTGTAGTAATTGAAATTTGTAGTGGTAATATAATTACCCATTTTTAATTTGTCTTTTAGAGTATTTTTTTTTTTCCTTATTATGCCCCTGTTTGAGAGGCGTTAAAAATTTCATTCTCATTTTCAACACGCATTCTTCAATAAAATAATATTTTTCATCACATCAATAATTTTTTATTCTTTTTCAACCACACATTCTCTATCAATCTACTATTGCAAAATACATTCTTCCAAAATAATGTAACTCAAACACACTATATATAATCAACCGTTTCACGGTTAGTCACTCGGTCTATTAAATAAAATTAACATGCCATTTGTTATTTTACGTCAAATTCCTATAAAAAAATCTTCCATTTGGACAAATCACCCCAGAAAATTATCCAAATAACTTCAAAAGTAAGTTTTTAATCTCCAAAGTGACTTTTAATTTATCAAACGCCTTACCAAACAAACCCTTTATCCAAGTGGTCAATAGTTTTGGAAAATTGGTGGGAAAGAATTCATAAAGATGAGTTCGGTGTGTCACTTTATTGATGCCATGTCAAATTCTCATGTTAGTTTTAGCCCATGTTCCTCTCCCATTCTTTTAAATATTCATTTTTAACAACACATTCATACAATAATGTGATCTACACATAAACTCAAAACTTTTCTCTACTTTTTAACTACACGTTCTCCAAAAATTCACTATTCAAAACAAATTTTTTTTTTCAAAAAATTAACCACCAAACAACGGCTTAGTGACCGTGTGATTAATTGTGAATCATTAATAACATTAATGACTGGAGAGGTTTTTACATTGCTTTTAGAGAATTACTATTTGGCACCATTGAAGTTACAACATGTGTGGTACCAAGTGTCATTAAATAAAAAGAAAAATTAAATGAATTACATAATTTTTAAAAAATAACTTAAATAGTGTATTTGTCACATAAACTTGTGCTAGATAATATTATTCTTACTTTAAGGACGAGTTTAAAAATTTTCACAAATTTAGTTGACTATTGATGCAATTAATTTCCATTATCTTTTCAAAAATTATACCAATTATGCAAATATAAATTTATATTCAAGTCAGAAAAAATACAAGTTTATGTTGATTAGAGAATGTGGAAGATCAAGTTGTTAACTTTGTTAGATCCAACAATTCCACATATATATGAGATATCATTATCTTGGAGACAAATAAGGAGGACATATCATTTCATTGGTTTTTGATCAGCGGTGTATTTTGAATTTGAAAGTTCGTTGTTTATAGAATTGTAGTTAGTGTCAGCCTCTATAAATGAGACTGCACGATTGTAAGTTTTACACATAATAATAAAAATCATTCTTCAATTTTATATGGTATCAAAGCCTTAGAAAGACCAACGTCTAGCAATATGTCCTTTTATCCCTCATCTTCTACTAGTATTGCAAATTCTCAATCTCTTCCCCCCTCCATCGCCACTATGTCCAACATAGTTACCATTAAACTCAACCAAGACAATTACCTTCTTTGGAAAGCTCACTTTGTTCCTTATTTTAAAGGACAAGATCTGTTCGATTTTCTTGATGGAACTACTCAAGCTCCAAGTAAGGAAATTAACTCTCCTCATCCTGAAAATCGGTGCTATAACCAAAATTCCAAACCCAGCCTATGCAACTTGGATTCGTCAAGATAATCTTATCCCAAGTACTCTCATGTCTTCCCTCACAGAGAGTGTACTCATTCAAGTCATTGCTTACTCACCCTCCAAAGACGTTTGGGGCGCTCTTGAAGATAATTTTGCTTCTTAGTCTAGAGCAAGAACTATCCATGTTCGTACAATTGGCAAATGCCAAAAAGGGTTACAGCCTGTACCAAAATAGTTTATTTATATCAAAAGACTAATCGATGAGTTAGCCATTGCATGACAAGTCGTTACATGTGATGACACTATTACCTACATACTTGCTGGCTTAGGTCATGAATATGACAGTTTTGTATCATCCATTTCTTTGCGATCACATTCTATTACCCTTTAGGAGGTTTACTCCATGCTGCTAACAAATGAAGCTCGTATTACTCGACATCATACACTTACTGCAGCATCTTAACCTATTGCCAATGTTGCTCAAAGCTAGCCCCAACAATTATATCCTCATGGTCGTGGTGGCTACCGTGGAAGTGGACGCAACAACTGTCGTTGAGGATCAAATTTTGGAGGTCATGGTAGTCAAATGATAACATTACCGGGACTGTCATTTGCTAGGTTTGTAGTAATACAGGTCACACTGCATGCAAGTGCTGTCATCGTTTTGATTTCTCTTTTTAGGATCCACCCCGACCCCAAAATAACCAAGCCATGATAGCTTTGAATACTGGACAATGGGACAATGAGTGGCACGCCGCTACAAGTGCTACACACCATGTCACAAATAACATGGCTAATTTGAACCTCTAGAGCGATGATTATGAAGGAACTGATGAACTTCAAGTTGTAACGTCAAGGTCTGTCGTAACCAAAATCCATTTTAGTACTATTTCTACTCATTCTTCATCCTTTGTTCTTGATCAAGTTTTATTAGGGATGACAAAAAACCCGAAAAACCTGATACATGCGGGGCTACGCCACGAACGGGGGATTACTCACTTAATCGGGTATTCGGCCAGGGACAGGACGGGTGCGGATACAGGTAACAGGTATCCCGCCTCGTTTAATTTTTTTTAGATTCAATACTTAAAATGAAAAATTCCACGAAATTTCGGTAGTTCTAATAGAAAATGACAACTAAGATTATCTAAAAAAAGACAAATAATAAAGACCTTAGTTTATCAAATATATTTAAATAATTTAACTTTTATAAATTTTATTAGTTCTAATAGAATATGGCAACTAAGATTATATAAAAAATATGACAAACAATAAAAGTTTTAGTTTACCAAATATATTTGAATAATTTAACTTTTAAAAATAAATAAAAAAATTTAAAAATATATTATTG